ATGCTGAACCGGTTAACTGATAGCCCCAATCTCCGTTCATGTAGCAAACACCAGTAGAGGTAATACATTCCAAGGTTAGAAACTCTGACCTTGAAAAAAGAAACGATTAATCATGAGTCTGAATGTCACCAAAACAGTTACTGGAAACACCGCAGATGAATTATTGGGATTTTGAAGGGGAATTGAGGAATCACTTTAGTGGAAACTGGCTTGATGTCCCCGCAGTTTTCTGCCTGCGTTTCTCCTACGTTTGTATGATCATGTAAGTTGCCACCTAATGATCACAGCACAGACAAATTCATCCAGGTATGTGCTGAATGCAAGCGTGGTGCTACGTTTCTGTCACGAGTTGTGAACTCCTCAAAGACAACTGTCCTGAACTCAGGTTGAAAAGTTCAGATCCGTCGGGCGGTATAACGTGCAGCCGCAAGTTGCTCTCCACGACAACACTGAACGTAAACTCCGTTCTTGTATTTTGATCCTAAGAGCATGCGTCGCAATGATTAGTTCACTGAATTCTTTGCTGACTAGTTTTTGCACGCCAGTAAGCGTTTGATCTGTTTATGTGGTTGGTTACAACGTACATGCATTGAAATTTAGTCCCAACCAGCAAGCCGAATTATGGCAGTTTCGCCATCGGATTTGCCGATGACTCCGTTGAAATCTTCAGAACCATCTTTTGGTGTTGCGATGATTTTCACATAGGAAATGTGTGCCAGCAAAATTTTGAACTTCCCCTGGAACTTCGAAAACCACTCCACGTTTGACCAACAGCGTCATTCTTTCGAAATTGCTGCCTTTCAAACTTCATTTCGCTGGTCAAAACCGACCACAGGACATCAGCTAGACCTGAATGGGAGGTCTTTGCAGTTTGACTAATTGGTGAAGTTGATACCCTCTTTAGCATTTTCATAGTGCCCCGCCGCGCATGCACTCGTCCAATGATTCGCCTGAAAAGCCAGACGGACTGCGTGCAACCTGGTGGTTACACAGCGCTTAGATCGCACCGCATATAGTTCGGCCAATAAGATGGTTCAGTTCGTCGAGGGTGCAGGATGAGTTCTGCTCACTTTAGCGGACAACTACGTAGTTGTTGGCACAGCTCTAGGGTGATCAATAATAAAATCGAACTAGACAGTGAATTGTCATCTGGCCTCGTGTTACATCCTTGTCAGGATACGGATCCTCGTTATACCATAAAGCTGCAAGAGGAAAAACTGTCTGCTTTCCTTCGTTTCTAGTTTTTTTTACAAGAAGATGACGTCGGATGAGCCCGTCAATTTTTCCATGTTATTTTTTCGACTTTTTGCCGTCCAATTGACCCTTCTAAAATATTTGGAAACTGAATTTTGGTGTCTTTAATGTGCTGCTGTAAAGTTTCAACACTTTGAGATCTTCAGGTTACGCTTCACAGGCAAAATCATTGAGCTGGATTAGCCAACACATGTACCATACCGTAACAACTGCCGGCTTCGGTTTCCAAGGTACCGATTCCCATTCGGAAATAACCGGGTAGACAGTCGCAGGTCACCTGTCCCGGTCCTGATGAGATTGAATTCATCGGACACAGCAGACAGTTGGAGTTCCCAATCGCGACTTTATAAGTTCCTTGTGCACAAGCTGAAAAAGTGAATAAGATTATAATGTTAGCATAGTAGAAAATAAATCGAAGAATGTGAACGTGAGTTTCCACTAGCGCCGTTTATGTAAAAACAGTGTATTTCAAAAATATTGTCAGGGTAAGTAACGCGTTCTCATCACTCAGAGTATTACTGCATATGGTCACACCCAGTCGAGATGTCAACGTCATCGAATATACGTGATTTGAAGGCCGCTTTCAACCCGGTTAACATTGGAGTCGCCAAACATTTTGCACGGCAGTTACAGAGGAAGTACTTACACCTGAGTAGTGGTTATTGACCATTCTCAAACCGAGTATACTATTCTCCTGAAAGGCTGTAGCCCAAGTGACTAGCTGGAAGGATGGAACCACTCAAATCTCTCATCGAAAGAAAATGTTCAACATTACTGTGGACAGTCATATGAGTTTTATAAGACTGGCCGGTAGCCAAATCAGATTTACAGGTCAAAATTAGTTAGACGGATAGAAGTTTGAACAGAGTGGGTGAACCACAGAACGCTTATGCTGAGCTGAATACAGTATTATCATCATCATCATCACTAAAGACAGCAACATCAGAGTTGGCACTGATGCTTCATTGCCGTACAACCATAAAGTTCGTTTTTATATATATATATATATAATTGTATTAAAAGCCCTACAGTGAAGAGAAGAGAAAAA